TAGTACTCCGAGCCAAAACAAAAGCTAGTTAGTAATCAATGCATGATCCTAGCTCATGTTAAGATGGCTAATGCAACACATACAAGATGCAACTACAATAGGCTCGGCTATTCTAAGATGGCATGTGATGATGCTACAACTAACATATATTCAACTTTGGAATTGAAATACAACTGCAGTTAGTATGATGCGCCGAGTCCGGTGCATGTAAGACAAATGTATGGATGCACGCATGCTATCATACTGTATGCTAATTGAAACATGCCCTAGGCTAACCATCGAAAGCTAGTAAATAAAAGGGAAGAAAGACGTGGGGTTGGGAGACATACACACACTCACGCACACTTATTACACAATTGCCCTCACTCGTAGGGTCCGAATAAATATTACAAACCACCTAATTAATTAACTCTTAAGCTAAATAATTAATTACAAAAATTTCTAATTAATTAACAAATTAAATGCAGAAGAAAGGTGGCCGCAGTCCCACCTCGAGATGCGTGAATGATGCATGCTTGACTCATCTCGCCCGGAAACTCGCTGCCATAGCACTGTTGCCTTTGTTTACACTGCCCTGCTCCTCTGAGGACTGCCAAAGTCCAAGGGTATGCTCTTTGGATGCTGGGGGATACCACCGACCAAGTAGAAACACCACCGGCCGAAGGGGATGATCACTGTGCTCTCGGCCAAACATTCTTTGCCGGTCGGCACTCAACACAGCTGGCACAGCTGGCCTTCCTACTGAAACCTGCAGCTGACAGCAGCAGAGGGCAAGCAGTGTATGGCATGGAATTTTCAAACAAATGTGAGCATGGACACACTCCCTATCATGCAAGGGACTCAAGGGAGCATGACCCTCGACCCCCGGGCCATCAATTATGCATTTTGATGCATGATGGCCTAAGAGGCCAAGTTAGCAACTTAATGTAAATGCATGTAAACAGAACACATGAATGCCAACACCCTATCATGTTAAGGTCAAGGGGGTCGGCGACCAAGGATGGAGGTGCGTTACGTCACTTTGAGTACGAACGCATCTCAATTCTCATGTTTGGTTTGACACCCCAAACCAAACAATGCAATGTATGTATGCAAATGTGGCTCAACTATGCAACATGAGGCTAAGATGCAAAACATGCCAAATGTGATACAAGCTAAACATGCAAATGTACAATGCTAGGCATGTAAGATACAATGCAATGCAATCAAACATGTAAGCTAAGACATGAAATGCAACTAGCTAATAATATGCAAGCATGCAAGTATGATACAATGCAAACATGAAACCAATGCAACATGATCATGCAATGGTGGACCTAAGACACAAAGGGCAGACCTCAACCCACTCTCAAAACAGTGACAAAAGATGCCTAAAATGATGAACAAATACTCATGTAAGCATACACACCAATAGGCCCAAGATTAAGGCATAACCAAGGAGTATTCTTCTACCACTACCCCAAGCCAACATGGCATGAGCTAAACAACCAAAAACAGAGTTTAGATGCATTGAAATAAGTCCTAAAACCCTCCGATATGGCAGCCCCAAAGGCTTAAACACTTAGGCATGCACAATGCTTATTTCAAGGCATAAAAGGACGCATCTTCAAAGCATGAAAGAGGTGATGAATGCAGGCATATAAGCATGGTTTGGGGACTGAAACATGGTCCCTAATGATTCCAAATCATTAGAATAAGCTAGGCTAAGCATGCTAGAGACCCACATGCTCAAGGCTCACAAGTCAAAATGCAAAAAGGCTACCCTAAACATGGCAAATATGACTAAAACAGCCCCCAACAGTCCTTGAGCATGGCAAAATAATACTAAGACTTTCATGGAGTTAAGCTAGAGCATGCAAGAATCATGGCCTAAATGCATGGCTTACTTCTATGCAAAATGGAGGAATGCAAGGCAAGTATACTATGCATGTAAGGGACCACAAATTCGACCAAAAACAGAGGCAATAAGTGACCAAATAACATCCAAAAACTTCTGAAATGGGGCCAAATGCAACCAAGCATACATGTTACCCTTATGAGCCAAAACATGAACAAAATGAGAGACCAAGGGAGAGGGGTGTCCCTCCCCTATGCAAGACCTCAAACCCCCTTCTTCACCACTGAAAATCCACTGGATTTCAGTGGTGAGAAGGCTAATACACCAAAGAAAACAAAACTTAATAAAGGAAGTACAAAAAGGAACCAAACAAGGCCTAAGAGGGGGAGGTCGACCCCCAATGCCAAAACAACCTTAATGAGATATCTTAAGCGTGAAAATACAAGACTTTTTTCAGTTATACACAAAGTCTAAAACAATGAGAAAAATAGGCAAAAGTCTAGTGGAAGATTGAGGAATCTAAAGTAAAAGAGTTACCCTTGAAGAACCCTTGATGAACAGCAAGTGCAGCCTTCTTCTTTTGATCAAAACCAGTCCAAAACCACAAGAACAAACCCCCAAAGCCCCTCAAATTCGAAGTAAGGTGCAATGGTGTGTGTTTGTGTGCAAAACTAAGAACAAACACACACTTTAAGCCCTCAAACACACACAAAATGAAGAGAGAGAGGGAGATATAGAGAGAGAGAATGATATGTATTAGATATATATGTGTATAGCTCTAGTTTTTTGCTGAACCAAACAAAGGAGGAGGAGGGGCTCTTATATAGGCAAGCTAATTGGCCAAAGCTTCTAAGAGAAGCTACTCAAAAGGGTCAAGGCTTACAAGGGAAGCCAAGCTAAGGGTGCAAGGCTTCTTGAGGAAGCTAGAACAACTGGCAAGCTTCTTGAGGAAGCTTTGACAAAGGGTCAAGCTTCCTCAAGAAGCTTTGACCAAAAGGGTGCAAAAAGGGCAAAACAGCCACAAGTATGCCCCGGGGCAGGTTTGGTGCATTCCAACTGGCATGCACCATGCCTGAACAAGGTAAAAAGGCGCTACCGGCCAGAAAAGGAGCTCACCGGCCAAACACATGGCCGGCCGGCCATACTGAGTGCCGACCGGCCAATGGTATAATTCACCAATGGCCGGTAGCCTCAAAACATGGCCGGTGGCCTCAAACCAAGGCCGGTGGGTGTCAGGGGTAGCTAACAAACTACTTCCTATCCTCGGAAGCAAAACATAAATGTTTGGTGCAAAACCAAACACAGAACAGTCGAGTTGAGAGATCCTGATGCAAGGCGCGTAGCCGAGACCTCTGGGAACTCAAAACGAAACACAAACATGAGTAATCACCGAGTGTTCGAGCGGTGAACCAATGGCCGGTAGCCTCAAAACATGGCCGGTGGCCTCAAACCAAGGCCGGTGGGTGTCAGGGGTAGCTAACAAACTACTTCCTATCCTCGGAAGCAAAACACAAATGTTTGGTGCAAAACCAAACACAGAACAGTCGAGTTGAGAGATGTTGATGCAAGGCGCGTAGCCGAAACCTCTGGGAACTCAAAACGAAACACAAACATGAGTAATCACCGAGTGTTCGAGCGGTGACGTCCAAGTCTTGAGGACGGTCAAAAATGGGGTGTCTACAACATGTGTTGTATATTCTGAAATGCTGGTCTGTTCAACCATTTGTGGAGGATCTGATAGGATAGGTGCATCCATAGGATGTGATATTACATTATTCTCTAGGTTAGGTACTTCTACCTCCTTCCACACCTCTTCCAGACATTTATTTTCTCCTCTTGTTCTATGTCTAGCCATTTTTAATGGTCCCACTGGGCATGCCAAAAATATATATTGACTTTTTTGGCTTTCGAACGTTAATTTTGTAATTTAAAGCGTGCCAGCAAGGATCAATATATCCTTACAGAATTTTTAATTGCCAACCAATTATCAGACGATTATGTTGAAGTTTTTGCAGCCTCGATGAAGAGGACTTTTATTGGTGGCTTGTTTAGGAGAAACTTATAATGATTACAAGTACAAAATAGTTCAAAAACTGAATTTCATTAAGTAAATAAGAACTTACAATGAGATGACCCAGCCTTGAAAAGATTTACAGTAACGACTACTTAATCTACTCTTTGAAAATGAAGTACAATATAGGAATTAAAGAACTAGAAATGTAATAACTAGAAAGAAAAATATAGAGTAAATGACGGGTTTTTGGATCTGAGTCTGAGCCTTTCTTCTATTAGCCTTCTCTTCTATTTATACTCTCCAATGGTAACTGTCGAAGCAGACTTCTAACCGTCGAAATGTCCTTCCACGATCACTGGTTATGGCCCTAAATCATCTGCTCCCACGAAGCCTTCCTTGTAATTAGGCATCTCTTTTGAATTTGAATTGTGAGTAACCGTTGGGCCACATCATTTATCGCCTTCCAACTGCTTCTATGCGAAGCAAACCCATCATTGCCAATATGAACTGTCACGTGTCTGTCGCTGATTAGAGACTTGCATTAACTCTTCAAATTACCCTTTACGTGTCACGTGTTAGCAACGATTGGCCTATACAAAATATATAGCCAACAAATATATATCATCAATAGAAAAAAAAAATTGGTCAATTAAAAAAATTGATGGTTTACTTTTAAAAATATATTTATCATTTATTTTTTTGAAAACAAATGTAATAAAATAAAAATATTATAATTATTAAATTAATCTAAAATTTTTTTTTATAAATAATACACTTAAAACGTGTTACAAAATAAATAATTTAAATTATCATAATACGTAATAAAATGAAAATATTACAATTATTAAATTAATCTAAATTTTTTTTTATAAATAATACACTTAAAACGTGTTACAAAATAAATAATTTAAATTATCATAATGGAAACTCTAAAATCTTCTCTCAAATTTATTTATTTATTTATTTTATTTTTTAAAGTATGTATTACGTAACTTGAGGAACAAGAACAAGAATAGCGTACGCGAAAAGAAATTCAAGACGTGTACCATTCCTATTATTTAAAATTGGAACTTTTAACCTTACCCACAATCCACCGCCCTCTATAAATTCTCCCCAACATGTAAAATAAGAACTTTTAACCTTACCCACAGGCCACCGCCCTCTATAAATTCTCCCCAATGCCCTTCTCAATTTTCATTCTCATATTGCTCGCTTCCTCTTCCTAAATTCTAGGGTTTTTTCAATCGCTTTCTATTGACGTCCTCTTTCTGTCTCTCTCTCTCTCTCTCTCTTCTCACCAATCCTCCTTCAAGGTAAATTAAATCTCTCTCTCTCTCTCCGCTTATTTTCGTTTTCGATTAGGCATTCCACGTCCCTGATTTGATTTCACTAGATATTGATATATGAATTGTATATATTTATGTTTGCTTGTGGTTTGATGTTTCGATTATCTGGTTTGTTAATTTTGTTGCCACACTTTGTTTTTTTGTTTTTTTCCAATTCTATTCACGTAAATATGGTGAATGATTAGGATCTGATATTGGTGTTTTGATCCATTCAGGTTCTGTAGATTTATGTTGCCTGGCTTGGTTATTTGAGTTTTTATACCATCTTCTTTATCTATGTTTATTGTGGAGATGGTATTTTTTGGGGGGGTCAATCAGTGATCTCATACCCTCCCTGCTTCTTGCATAACATTATATCTATACTATTGAAAGCATTCATTCATTTTCTTATTGTGAGAGCGTTGTCTGACATTCATTTTTTAAGCTGTTCGTTTATATCATTTACACAATTGTCACTAAAAAATTAGAGGGTAAATGTATTTTTGAAAGTAGATCATTTATTTTTCCAAGACAAACATGATAAAATAAATGTTACAATTATCGGATCTAATATTTTGATGGATATGGATGTTGTTTGGATCATCGATAAGTGGTTCTGATTTTGTTGATTTTGTTTATATTTAATAAAGTGTGGTATTGATTTGGTAGGATAAATTCAAAATTATGATTAAAATTAAGTGAATGAGGCAAAAAAATGAATGGTTGGGATTGACATCTAATTGGAAGATTAGGGTTTAATATGAAAAGAAAATTTAAAACCCAGCGCTCAATTTGTTTTTTTTTTGGCCAAGTTTGTTAGTGAAGTTAGATTATCACTAAAGGGTTGCCGCCGCTCTATCAACTTGAACTCCTAACCTTCCTCTCACCACAACCACTTGTGTGGCGACAAGATGGGTTCAATTTATTTCAAGGGCTAAACCTTGGGGATTATTTATGTAATTTTTTCTTCTCTATTTTTTTGAAAGTCCAAAATTCAAATTTTTTGGGTTCAATTTGTTACCAGGGCTAAACCTTGGGGATTATTTATGTAATTTTTTCTTTTCTTTTTTTTTGAAAGTCCAAAATTCAAATTTTCAGGTTCAATTTGTTACAAGGGCTAAACCTTGGGGATTATTTATGTAATTTTTTCTTTTCTATTTTTTTGAAAGTCCAAAATTCAATTTTTTTTAAAATGAAAATAAAAATTTAAGAAGCTTACATTTTACTATATGTGAATGAACTCTTTCAAATTCTAAGCAACATTTAAACAGGCCATGTGTTTTGTAGATATTTGTGCATTTAACTTTAGGGCTTTTAAACCCAAACCCAGCACCTTTACAAGTTTTGAGAAAATTTTTTGGGAAAATTTGTTTGGTTTGATTACTTTTAAAAACTTATTTTTAGAGAAAATTTCCCAAAAATTTTTCACAAATACAAACCAAACGAACCCCAAATTTCCGGGTTCAATTTGTTACAAGGGCTAAACCTTGGGGATTATTTATGTAATTTTTTCTTTTCTATTTTTTTGAAAGTTCAAAATTCAATTTTTTTTAAAATGAAAATAAAAATTTAAGAAGCTTACATTTTACTATATGTGAATGAACTCTTTCAAATTCTAAGCAACATTTAAACAGGCCATGTGTTTTGTAGATATTTGTGCATTTAACTTTAGGGCTTTTAAACCCAAACCCAGCACCCATTTTGCAAATCTAGACCTTAATTCCATGGTTATCAAAATCCCGATCTGGATTTTACGATCCTACGATCTTATGATCTATTTGAGTACAATCGATCCGGATCGTGTAAAAGATTCCTTATAGGTAGGATATTTCAATCCTGGTGGTAATAAGATCTTATAGGATCGTGAAATCTTGATCCGAATCCGATCCTATCTGATCCAATTTACAAGCCTTGTTTTGTATTGTATGACATATTTTATTGTAAATTTTATATTTGTTGTCTAAACATCAATTTATGTGGTCAAAATAAATAATAAAAATTAAATAGTATTGGATCAAATAGACTAAGAAAAACAAACTAGGAAACAAACATTCAAATATTGCTATAATTTAAGAAAATTAACTAGTCGGAAAAACAAACTTAATTTTAGCAAAGTCTAATGAGTGTAAGATGAGTGCAACTTTATCTCAATTTTTGGAGAAATTATTTTTGTGACTCGAATTCGTTTCACCAAGGATGTTGAAGGTTAAGTTGCTCTTTTGAGTTCTTAATCTATTTTCATATTCAACTTTGTTAAATATTTTTTTTTCACTTTTTATGCATTATTGTAGATTGTAAAGTATTTTGTTATAGAATTCTTGTTCTTCACTTTCTTTTTTGATGAAATACAAAACTTTTACCATCGAGTTTTCTGTTATATAATATTATATGTACATTTTACATGGAGTATTATATGTTTCAAAATATCTTCCCCTTTTTTTAATAGAATATAGGTTCATTTTGTGTATACTTTTTAAGAAATATTTATTTAAATTAAATTATTATGTAATTTGTCTTTTTCGGTAGGATTTTACGATCATCGATCCGATCCTACGATCCGATCCTATAAACACCTCAACGATCCAACATAGGATCCCGATTTTAACAATCTTGCTTAATTCTCAATACGGTAGAGTTTATTTGGATTGTTTGCACTGCTAATTATTATGTTTCTGTTTTCTAATCTTATTATTTGCTAAAAAGCTTATTGATTTATTTGTCTTTTATGTTTGCTGATGTTTTAATTTGATTTGGTATGCTTGTATTCTCAAGCAGTATTTGTTGTTTGTCTTTTTCCATTTTCTAAACTCTCTATATTATTAAGTAGCTTTTTTAACATTTTATTTTATAAAACATATTTCTCAATTTCTGTGAATGCTTAAACAGATGCAGATCTTTGTTAAAACCCTCACTGGAAAGACTATAACTCTTGAAGTTGAGAGTTCCGATACCATTGACAATGTCAAAGCAAAAATTCAGGACAAAGAAGGAATACCCCCAGACCAGCAAAGGCTTATTTTTGCTGGAAAGCAACTTGAAGATGGTCGGACCTTGGCCGACTACAACATTCAGAAGGAGTCTACCCTTCATCTGGTTCTTCGTCTGAGGGGTGGCATGCAGATCTTTGTTAAAACTCTCACAGGGAAAACAATTACTCTTGAAGTTGAAAGCTCGGATACCATTGACAATGTCAAAGCCAAGATCCAAGACAAGGAAGGTATCCCCCCAGACCAGCAGAGGCTGATCTTTGCTGGAAAGCAGCTTGAGGACGGTCGTACATTAGCTGATTACAATATCCAAAAGGAGTCCACTCTACATTTGGTCCTCCGATTGCGTGGTGGTATGCAAATCTTTGTCAAGACCCTCACAGGCAAAACTATCACTCTTGAAGTTGAGAGCTCCGACACAATTGATAATGTGAAGGCAAAGATTCAGGATAAGGAAGGCATTCCCCCTGACCAGCAAAGGCTTATTTTTGCTGGGAAGCAACTTGAAGATGGCCGAACTTTGGCAGATTATAATATCCAAAAGGAATCTACCCTTCATCTTGTTCTCCGTCTTCGTGGAGGTATACAGATATTTGTCAAGACCCTTACAGGAAAGACCATAACCCTCGAGGTTGAGAGCTCCGACACTATTGATAATGTAAAGGCAAAGATTCAGGATAAAGAGGGCATTCCTCCTGACCAGCAAAGGCTTATTTTTGCCGGGAAGCAGCTTGAAGATGGCCGAACCCTTGCAGATTACAACATTCAAAAGGAGTCAACCCTTCATCTCGTTCTCCGACTTCGTGGTGGTATGCAGATATTTGTGAAGACATTGACAGGGAAGACAATCACGCTTGAGGTTGAGAGTTCTGATACAATCGACAATGTAAAGGCCAAAATTCAGGATAAGGAAGGGATTCCTCCAGATCAGCAGAGGCTTATCTTTGCTGGAAAGCAGCTTGAAGATGGTCGCACGCTAGCAGATTACAATATTCAGAAGGAGAGCACGTTGCACCTTGTTCTTCGTCTTCGTGGAGGTTGCGCGTAATGGAGTGGTCTATGATAGTAGTGTTGTTTTGATGGCTTTTCTTTAATAGCTCATGAAAATATTGAAACTGTGAAGATTATCTTTTCTGTTTTTCCTTTTTAAGTTTACAGTAATTTGTTTGCTTGTGTTTGGATGGTCAGTATAATTGTTCTATCTGATTAAGCTTTCTGGGGTTCACTCATTAACAGTAGTAATGTTGAATTGGAATGTCATTAACCCATTCTTGGTTTCTACTGAGAATTAATAGCTGTAATACCTTCACTTTATCTATCATCTACTGCTACACTAAAAATTTGGCTTCAAAACTGAGGTGGTTTTGGAGTCGGGTGCTTCTATTAGCTAGCACTCATTTTTTTTCTGAGGCAAATGGGGAATTAACTTTGTCGGTTTCAAAACTAGGGAGTAGCTCCCCCCATAAATACTATTATCCTCCATATTCTTGGATCGTTTATCTCATAAATTTCATAATGAAAATTATCAAAAATTAATTTTATCGGATATTGATGAATAGATAAATAAATTTTATTTTAGTTTATAATATGGATAGTTTAAGTTTATAGTAGTTGTCCATTAAAAAAATTGTAATTTGTTTGTATAGTTTTGTCCAATGAAATTAGTTGTTTGAACAGCGCATCTTTGTTGGTGAGTATATGAACTCATTGTTTGAGCAGCTCATCTTTATTGGTGAGTATATGAAACAAAGGGTTTAGATCATTATTATGAGCTTGTAATGAGAGGCACGAACCACAATGATATGAGAGAGTCGTTCTCTCAAAATTGTTTGGATACTGCCAAAATAAATTGATATTTACTCCCTACTTTTTTTTCTTTGTTTTTCTCAACCACGCACCAAAGGTAAGTATGTCAATGCTACAAGAAGAAGCTTGTATAATAAACAAACTACTAATATATATACATAGTTTTTAGCTCTTTCAAAACAGATGGAAAGTTGTTGGTTAGGGATAGGAGTGTAGGGTTAAGTATTCATAGAAGCAGCTGCATACCTGTAACTGATGCCAATGCAGCCAGCACTGGCTCTGAGGTGTTGAGATTGGGGGTGGTTCTTTGCATTTTTGCTGAACTTCCTTCAGAATTACAACAATTCTATGTATCATGTAGGACTGCAAATGTATCATACTGTTTACAAGCTCAACTCAGTTCATTAGGTAAATAAATGAGTTTAAGTCAAATTTTTAAGTTCGAATCTTGAATTTTAATAAGCTTGGTTCGTTTATTATTTATTTAAATAGTAGAATAAATATATTATTTATATATTAAATAATGTAAAAATATGTAGGAACAATTGTAAAAAAATGATATAAACTCAAAAGAATTACAAAAAGATAGAAGTACAAGATTTAGTTCCACAATTTAATGCATAAATTGATTATACTTTCATAACATTACAATTAGTTTGTGTTGATGCCACTTTTTTGCAATTCTTCCAAATATGTATAAATAATAGGATTTCTATTATTTATATATTTAAATAATGTAAATAATTGTTTAAGAAAATCATCATCAAACTTCAAGCCGAACTCAAGTTAGATTAATTTTTGAGTCAAACTTGAACTAGATTTTTGAATTCAGCAAACAAATGATATGAGTTCAAACCCTGCAAAATTCGACTCGTTTGCAGTTTTTGTGCCTTAACACATCTTAGAAATATGTCTTTTACCCTCTCATGGCCTCTCTTTTCCATTCTTACAAATGAGTGACAAGCTTTACAATATTTTTTACAAGAGGAGTGACTCATCCTTTCCTAACAAGATTTTTAAGTTATGCGACGGAAACTGCATTGGAAGACCACAATGCCAACTGGTGGCAATCAAGAAAGCCTAACGTCTCTAGGTATTGTTGTCTCTAGCTATCCTATAATTTTTGGACATTTTGATACATAACAAAAGCCAAATTCGTAAACAAAAATATAACCGATATTATGTCTTTCTTTCTTGCATGAAAAATGTGTTTTAATGAACTTTATACATAAAAAATTAAATTGAGTGTCCTTTTTACTCATTAGAAAACCAAGTTGAGAGACTTTAAACCAAATAATTAAAATAATTAATTACACTTTACATGAAAAAATATAAAATAATTATCAAAAGGTAGAATTTTCTTTTTGAAACTATCAAAATAACCTCAGCATTCTCTCTTATTTTGTCCATTCTTTATTTCCTTTTCTCCTAAAACCTAGCCCATCAGCTACCCCTCCCCTACATTCCCTACCTCCACAAACCCCTTTCCTTACTCTCCCCAGCCTCTTCAATACTTCATTCACCCTCTACAAGCCATTCCCGCCCCATCTCCTTCTCATTTTACCCCACCCTATCCTAATCTGGTACCCATCCTCGTCATTTCCCTATAATATCCTATTCTCATAATTGCAAACATTAGAGAGGCTTACAAAGACCAAAGGAGGCTTTCAAAAACTAGATGAGGGTATGAGAGGATATTAGGAGAGGAACGAAATGGAAGAGGCGTCATTTCAAATATGAAGAAATGTGAAAAAGAGACTGAGGATGATAAAAGAGTATGAGGGAAACATATGCAACGATGATGGAAAGTCGAGAAGGAATTTTTGGTAGCGGAGAGGTAAAAGAGGGATTTCTAGTATTGGAGAGAGTTATTAGTGGGTTAGGATTTTAGAGGAGAGAAAGAGTGAAAAGATAATAGAGTATAGACGATAGAGAAGATGAAGGTTGTTTTAGTAATTTAAAAAAAATCACCTTTTCATTATTATTTTGTATGCTTTCAATTTAAGTTTTACTATTTTTATTTTGCCTGTATAGTGTAATTACTTTTTTTCCTCTATTTTTTGTATTTCTTTTTTTTATTTTTCATTTATTTGTTGTATAGTGTAATTACTTTTTTTCCTCTATTTTTTGTATTTCTTTTTTTTATTTTTCATTTATTTGTAATTCTCTCTAATATTTATCCCTTTACAAAGAGGAATTTTATAGTGTGCACACCTTTAGGGTGTATACCATATACACACCACTTTGAAATGTGTAATTTTATTATAAAATTTCGTAAAATCAATCACAAAATGCACAAACTCATCATAAATAGATATAATAAAAAATATTGTACCCAAGCTATAAAGATTACATATTTTTATGATTAATGTTATAAAATTTTATAGTAAAATTAGAACTTGCTTAAAAATTGACAATTTTAATTAATTTTTTAATATTTTACGAAAAATATATAAAGAAATAAATGAAGTGATATGACAATTCATAATTATTTTTTAATTTTTTAACTATTTTTTTGTCTTATCAAACGAGGCCTTAGAATAGGATAATATGCACCAACATAACTCTATTGTTCCAAACTTATCCATCCAAATTTTTTAGGTGACTGATAGTAAAATTTAAATTTGTATAATGTAAGATTTGTAAAGTTTATATGTAGGTAATAATTTCTGAGTTGATAGGTCTGGATTGGTACTATTTATGGTTGAAGGTTGGTAAAAGATGGATGCCTCTATTTGCACACTACTTTTCATCTCAAGGCACACCTCTAATAAATTGATAAATAAGCAATTTGCTCAATACACACCACAACTTTCCATCTTTACCCTTACTCTCACACAACCCACCCATAATCTTCCATCTTTACCCTCTCTCACATACTCACACACTCCACCCCCACCCACGATCCATCTCTCCCTCATTTCTCTGTTTGATTGTCACCCCCACATACCGGTGAACAAAACCAGTGGTGAAGACTCCTCAAGACGTCGGTGAGCAGAACCAGTGGTGAAGACTCCTCAAGACGCCAGTGAACAGAACCAGTGGTGAAGACTCCTAAACATGCCGGTGAACAAAAACAGTGGTAAAGACTCCTCAAGACATCGATGGTGCTCGTTGTCATCATAGTTGGAAACCACATTGGAGATACAGTAGGTGATAATTCTCATTTGGCTTAGATTTTAGGGTTTTATGTACTTTTTTCCATTTCCATGAGATTTGTATATGAATATTTCAGTTTGCGAACCGTTCGACTCTAGACTTTCAAACCTTAACAATTTGTTTGGACTGTTTCTGTCGAACCTTAGCCACTTGTCCAGAGTGTTTCTTTCGAACATTAACGATTTGTTCGACATTTTAGTGTCAAACCTAACTACAAGATTTGGTTGTAGACTGTCGAAGATAATCAGTTTGTTCGAAGTTAGAGTATCGAACATAATCTACATAAACCAGTAGCTCCCTAATTCTTTAATATATATATATAAGTACTATACTAAATATTGGAAAATAATAGTTATTTTAAGGAAGATATTCATAGGAAGGTAAAATAATTCTTATCTGTTTGGAATCAGATTGTTAGAGTTAAAGGAATTCAAGTTAATTGATAGGCACCTCAACTGGAAAAGTTACCTCAAGATCAGCTGTTCGACAGATGTCTGGGCACATGACATTGTTGGAGGCATGGATTTATGAGCATTTTCATCCATTTAGACCTCACCAAAACATGGAATATACTATACAATTGCCTCACGTGCATCGATGGACTCCTCGTCAGGAAGTTGGTTTAACGGTATCACACCTACAGATGCTACGGGAGGCGCTTGACAAATTGACATTTGATGAAGTATAACAACTAATATTAGTTCAATTAAGTGTTCTCATTACATGTCACTCATCAAGATTTCATTTGTACTTCTCTCTTAGGTTACTTGGGATCCATATCAATATTGCCGTCAACATCACCCATGTCATGAGATCACATTCTATAGCGGTTGTTTGAAGTGTTTGGATGTAGTTGAACCCTATCATCCTAAAAGGGTTCTTAGACAGTTTGGTAGGGTTCAGACCATCCCACCTGCGCCACTCGACCTTGTTCGTACTGTTAGAGATGTCATAGCAGGTCAATATAGAGTGATGTATCATTATCTTGATCAGATATAGGAGAGTTGGGATAATCATGTTTTATCTGCTCGGAGGAGGAGTACCCCAGTCAGACGTCCAGCTGATTGTGTTGATGGTTACATGCAATGGTATACAAGTATCACACACTTGTATATCCAGAACCCCACACATTGGTCTGGTTTTGACCCACGTGTACATGATACTAGTGTTCATGAGCCAGATAGGTTATATGAGGCCATTGAGAGGATGAGTGTTCTACATGGTCAACAAATCGATAAAGCTGGATTTAGTTCTATTTCGTTTAGAACATACAGTCATAGGAGATGAGTAGATGATAGGTAGTAGGTTTTGTGGTAATATTTT